TACTGGGAAGTGTTGTGCTTTACACTCCGTTATATGTAATAGTTTCCATGAATAATTACATATTGTGAATGTTGAGCTGTGCCAGTGTTTTCATGGTTTGTTATAAGTGCCTCTGAAGATGGTTCCTTGGAACCGAAACATGTAAGGCAGATGAGATAATTAAGTGATCAAAATATACATTGTTGCACTTGACGGAAAATCTATTGACAATTACTCTTTGTTTTCACGGTTCGAGGTAAGTTTTTTCGTAGGTTCGCTATCATGCTCAGTCATTTGCTTTGGTATTAAGCGAAAAGATGGCTATTTTGCAAACTTTACTATTTTTCGCAATTTACATAATTACGAAATGATACTTTCACTTCCATATATCGTACTTTGGTAGCGGCTCGAAGCATGTGAAGTAAGACGAACTGGTCAGTAATCTCATTTTACGAAATGATGGGTATGAGTATGAGGGGTGAGCCATGAAACTGGTCCTTGCACTGCGACCTTCAATCATCAGTTGTGCTTGCCCTTTTGATTAACCCCTTATTATTCCTACACTTCGAATGAATGTAGAGTTTTATTTATGGGGGCGTCATAAAAGTCACTTGGTTCCATGAAGAACTGACCCAGGTGGCGATATCTTAGATAAGCTATATCCTCACAACCACATAAGATGTGTGTGGCTGATTCATCTTCTTGTAGGCACCTTTCACAATTTGGGTCCTAGTCAGACCCAGTTTTGAATGGTGTCCCTTTGGGTGGCAGTTTCCAGTAAGTAATCCTACCACCCATCTGAGTTGATTTCTGTTTAAGTTTAACAGGTGTCTCGTTCTTTTGCAGAGGGTCCTGATATAAACCCTTTTGCCTGTTTGAGTCCAGTTGTGGATTCCCAGTGTGTTTTTTTTTTTTTGTGATTTCTAGCAGTCCAGTCCTTGATCGCTTTCTTGGCAACTCAAATTGAGATGCCGCAAGTTCAGGTCCTATGGACGGTTGTTCAGTTCCTCTTCTTGCCAGTTGATCTGCGGTGTCATTCCCTACAATACCCTCATAACCTAGAACCCATACCAGTTGTACTTTGTTATGTCTAGCCAGTTGTATGAGGGAATGGTGGCAGTCCCAAACCAATTTTGGAGTGATTTGGTGTGTACCAAGTGCTTTTATTTCAGTTTGACTCTCTGATAGGATATATATGTTCCTATTTCTATAGCTCCTATTTAAATTTTAAACTGCGCATGCCTTAATGGCATACACCTCTGCCTGGAACGCTGTTGTGTACTGAACAAGGCTGAAGGTATGCTTCTGCCTCGTTCCATCACAATACACCCCAGCTCCATTGCCTTTATTTGTCTTGGAACCTTCTGTATACCAGATTAGTCCCCCATTTCTATCAGGTTGAGTCTCCTCTTTCCATTCACTTATATCAGGAAATCTTATCATGAAAAGTCCATTATAAACATGTTTCAGGAGCATTTTATCAGATTCCATCTGCAGGATTGATTCTTTTTTCATGTCCCGAGACATGTATGCATGTCCAAAACCTTAGGATTTAGGTCTCCAGTGGTCACTGCAACGTAATCTGAAATTTCCTAACCTGGCCTCTACTTCCACCTGCAAATGCAGGGGAGGGACTCCTATTAGGATTTCCATTGCAGCTGGTGGATCTGTTCTCATTGCTCCCGTAATTCCCAAGCAGGCTGTCCTTTGTAGTTTGCTAAGTTCTGCCTGACTTGTCTTGAGTTTGACTCTAGGCAACCATATAGTGGCGGCATAGGTGATTAAGGGTCTTACCACTGCAGGGCATATCCAATATACCACCTTAGGTGTCAGTCCCTAAGTCTTCCAAAACGTGCCTCTGTATGTCCAGAAGACCAATAAGGCCTTATTAATAGCTTTATCTAGCTGTTTTTTATGGCAGCCCCTTGTCTAATGTTAATCCAAGGTACTTTACTTCACTGGGTAGCCAGATCGCTTTACTGAAGAGTACGGTTCTTTGAGCCTCTTTATATCCCTCTTCCTAGTAAAGGGTACAATCACCATCTTGTTTGGATTGATAGACAAGCTTGTCTTTCGCACCCCTCTTGAACTGTATACATGNGTAGCGTGTTTGCCTACTGAAGCCGGCTTTCGGATTGGTAATTGAGTTTATTAACCACTTACCTGTCGTAACTACAATTACTTATTACGCTCTTACTGATTTACAGAACTTATACTCATTACGCGCTAATCTCTTCAGTCTGTCTTCAGTAGTCTTCACGTATTTAAAACACGGGAGATATAAAAGTCTCACTGAATTACACACTCCCTATACCACTGAAATGTAGCACACGTAAAGTCTTCAGGTCACACAATAAGCCTTCACTGACTGACTTCTCAGCTAGCAGACACTATCACTGATTATCACACATAAAATCTTCTAATCACACCTTGTCTTCTTTCTCCCTCGGCTGTCTCGCACTCACTTCGAGAACTGACTAAATTTAACTAACTTCTTCGACTGACTCCTCAGTATGAGTCTGACTCTGAGTCTCATTTTACGACCGACGGTCAGTCGGCCAGTCTGTCTTAGTATAAAGCACCCATCTGGGGCTTGCGACCAGATGTTTATTACTGTTTAAGAGTTATGGTCTTGTGTTTTTTGTGGACGCCCACTCTGACGAGAGGACTGGCTTGTCATTTATATATGATGCTGGCCCTTCCCAGCGCAGTCTTTCTCTGGTCCAAGTCCCATGGAATCCGCGACCATATTTTACTGTCTCACATTTGAGACTTCCTTTTCGTCGCCTCCTACGACTCGCAGGGTCACGGTGGAGATATCGACTCCACCTCCACACGGGTTTAGCACTTGATCTAGTGCAAGTCCAAGTCACATTGCGACTGACGGTCCTTGGTGTCGAGACCCATGTGGGGCTCATGACCAGATATTTATTACTGTTTTGGGAAGTTACGGGCTTGTTTTTGTGGGCGCCATCTTTGACGCGAGGAAGGGTCTCCCTTTTGTCTTGCAAGCGCAGTCTTTCTCGGGTCCGAGTCCTTGGGACTTGCGACCATATTTTACTGTCTCTGATTTGAGACTTCCCTTTTCGTCGCCTCCTTCCGCTCGCAGGTCACGGTGGAGGTATTTAACCCTGCCTCCACAAGGGGGTAAAAGAAATTTATCACTTGTCAAGCCAAAGTCAAAGTTACTTTACGACTGGCGGTTCATCCGTAGTTATGCAAAAAAAAAAAAAATCCGTTGCTTAAGAAATGCTAGCTTTACTCAACACAGAACGCCTTGTAGAAGTGTTTGGCTTCATCCGTTGTTAGACAACGAACAGTCTTTGTTATGGATATTCCTACGCAACGGTCTGTTGGTATTCAATTCGTCGCTGTGGGAAATCGACGAAATGACACGCCCAACAATTCTCTTGTTTGGTACATTCGTTGCCGCTGGAACGTGTTTACCGATCCATTACCTAGCATTGGAAGGAGAGAGACAATTTACCGAGCCTTTGCGTAGCAGCGATAGGAGGGAATCAAATACAGGCAGACAGACTGAAGGCAGAGGTTTATGAAGTACGCCGCTGCTGAGATGGGAACAGTTCACAAGGTATAGATACAAAGTTTTGTAATGATTGGTTCTTTATTTTAGGAGAGTAGGCCAAAAACTTGAAGTTGTTTTGAGGACGATGTCGTCAAATTGATTTAACAGTGTCGTCAAAAAGCGAACTTGTGGGACCCAAGATATGCTGATCCCGGTTTTTATATTGCTAGTGGGTTGGGACTAAGTCCCTTGTACTGCGGCCACTTCTGGCCTATTGTACCAGCCCTAGATGATAGGTGAGGATGATGGTGGAGCAATTGGTGGAATGAAGATTGGCAGGGGAAACCGAAGTACTCAGAGAAAACCTGCCCCAGCGTCACTTTGTCCACCACAAATCCCACTTGACCAGACCCGGGATCGAACCCGGGCCGCCGCGGTGGGAAGCCAGAGACTAACCGCTTGAGCTATGGCGCGGCCATGGATCCCGGGTTACTTGCCACTGTTTCCTTAATCTCTGCTTATGGTTTAAGAAACTTTCCAGATCAGGTATGACCTTACTAGGTCCGAGAGTGTAATTTTGCTTGTCGACAGCCTGTACGCCGAAGCTATAGAGGCAGTAAAGTTGCCGGCGTCTTTATCGGCTTTTTCCTCCGAGTTAATTTGGATTCCAGGTGAAATTCGAAGCTTTGAAACCGCTCCGAATCTGTGAATTTGTCTCCCGGGTCCGGAGAATTCCTAGTTCTAATATGACAGAGCAAGTGGGAAACAATTGGTAGGTGATCTGAGTCCAGAATGTCCGTGACAATGACATATGCAGCGATATCGAGCACATCACCATTTCCCGCAGGAATGTAATGTGTGCAACATTGAGGTGCTGAAATTTCAAAGTCGTTTATGTGCAGTAAATTCAGTAGTTTCACGCCTAAATGGTTTGAAAGTACACTGTTCCAGAATGGATGTTTAGCATTCAGATCTCCTGCCAGTATTGACTTATATCTAAACCTTAAGAGCTCGGTGATGTCTGCATCATTCCAGGCGTGGCCTGCGAATTTGCTGCAAGTAGCACTTCACTATTACAAATCAGTATGCAAACCCTTGTCACTTGTGTTGAAACAAGCGGAGGCAGGTCTACGTGGTTGTGGGGAATGCATTTACATATTGGACGTCAGTGTCACCTTTTCTTCCCGCGTAGCGGTCAACACGATAGGGTGATTCACATATTACACAAACTCTTCTTCGATAAGACATGGACCGCATAGATAATGACGCGTCCAACAATTCTGTTGTTGGGTACATTCGTTGCAGCGGGAACGTTTTTACCTATCCATTACCTAGCAATGAAAGGAGAAATACACTTTAACGAGCCTTTGCGTAACAGCGATAGGAGGGATACAAATACAGGCAGACAGACTGAGGGCAGAGGTTTATGAAGTACACCGCTGCTGAGATGGGAACAGTTAACAAGGTATCCATACAAATTTGTGTAAAAATTGTTTTTTTTTTTATTTTAGGAATGTAGACCAAAAATTTGAAGTGGTTTGATGACGATGTCGTGAACTTGATCCAACTAAAGTAAAAAACTCCGTGGCCTGTATTCTACAAGTGAACTATACCGACCGAGCGATTCCTGCTTGTCGGCGAAGTTAGTGTCAACTTTTGCGAATAGAGGGTCTCACATGGTCAGCGCAACGGATCCCCACATCCGTTAATCTCGATTTTCTAGACCGGTGCCGCTATTTCCTTGAAATTGCTCCACAATTATCCTCACGAGGCTGTGTTCCTGTTATCCTGTTATCCCTGTTCCAGACCCACTATTTCTCAGAAAATCTGATAGTGCCGGGAATTGAACCCGGGACCTTGACATCTCTAGGCAGAAACTCTGACTACTAGACCACAGAGGCGATCAGCTTGATTCAACAGTGTGGTCAATACGCGAACTTTTGGGACCCCAAGAAATGGAAACTACATGACAAGACAAACAAAATACAGTTAAACGAATATCAGTAGCGTTGAAGGTGTCACCTAACGAAATAGAACGGAAAATATGTGTCATTTTGGTACACTACCGAAGGACCCATGCGAAGGCTTGATATCTTAACAAAAGTGCAAATTTCCGCTAACTGCAGACGAACTATCGACGGGGTGTTTGCGAGCATGTCGTTTTACTTCGTGTGGACCTGTTACGAACAGATCACGAACTTAGATTCTAGTTAGCACGCACGTTACGTGCAGCCACACCCTAGACTGGAAACAGACAGGCAGTCGGGGAAGTGGTCTGGTTTCAGAGTGGCATTCCAGAGTCATTCCCGGCGAATGTCGAGATAATGGCTATGAAATATGCCACGTTCACGTCCCTGGATATTGCCTAGCAAATATGTCAAGGTTACATTCTTTATATTGCACGTGTTACAGTGACTCTCGATGGGGTTTTGGATTGGAGATTGGATTTACTGACCACTTTTAACACACGACTCGTGCGAACACTTAATTATAGTGCCATAGCTAATCATCACACTTTACAAATCACTAGGGCACACAGACTAATGTTCTTAGTCAGGTACGTTCTCGAGTAGTTGTTCACTGGTAACGGTTTCTAACAGTGGAGATTCTTCAGCTTCAAACTGCACCCACTAAGTCTTTGCTTCACCCTCTCCGTTACAATTGACTTTTACAACTGACTAAATTTTCGAACTTGTCTCGGTTATAACATATTGGCACGGACCGCGTTTAAAACATCATTCGTTGTTGCACTCCTTTGTTACCATGGGAACGTGTTTGTTTCCGAAGGCGTTACCAAAACAGCTGCTTATACTTCCTTATTGAGAATCACTTTCCTAGCAGAATGCTATTTCATTGTTTGTTTCGAGGCCGTTACGCAGTAACGGCTCTACACGCTGCAATATTTACCATATGTAGTCACCATCATCCTCTTGACGCTTTATAATTCTAGTGTCGTTAGTAGTACGAAACCTTGTCTCTTGTTTCAGCTTGGAAAGAAGGGCTCAAGGCTGAGGGCTCAAGGACAGGTGCAGGACTTTTTTAAAATTCGTGATCAATGCCTGGAGGAAGGTACACTCTTCGAGGACCCCAAATTTCCGGCTGAGGACTCATCAATATATTTCAGCAAGACTGCTCCCCGACGAATTAAATGGAAGAGACCCATGGTGAGTTGACAGAGAGCAGATTCATCGTGCATGATAACCACAGCTGATGGTTGCTGAGGTTATTCAAGAAGTTTCGTGTTGTTCTCACTACAGGATTATGAAGAATGTGACCCCGTTTAATCTTGTTGAGGCTACCAACGTTTTAAATGACTCTACTTCCATCTTCAGGGTCAGAAAGTAAGCAAAGAAGCAAGTGGTAAGCAGCAAGCTCCTTATGCTTTGACCCTGAAAATTGAGAGAGTACTTTCCTTCAGAACGTTGGTGAACATCTACTAGAATGCAGGCATCACATCCCAGAAAATAGTGCCTTCAACCTTATAGTTCATTATTGTGTTCACATACACGTACACCTGCCATTTAACTCATCCAGTGCCATGTCAGTCAATATTTTATCTTCCAGTCTATTTCTCTAAGATCCATTAAATTGTCATGTGTTGGGTATGTACCGCGACAAATAACTTCACGCCGTCTTGGAAGTAGCGAATTTATTCCACACTCGCTATTACACTTACACAATTCACAATATCTCAATTACTGCCATCTGCAATATCACAATTACTACTCCTGCGGTAGTCACTGCCATTCACTCGATACAACAACTAGGCGACTGCTAGACTTTCACTGCTCTGAATACTCCCGATATTAACTGGCTTCGGCGGCTGCTACATTTCAATTGATTCACTCAAAGTCAAAGTCACATTGCTACTGACGGTCAGTCAGTCTGTCTGTCTTGGTATCGAGCCCCGACTGAGGCGCATGACCAGATTCTTTTTATATGAAAGTTACTGTCCTGTTCATTTGGGGCGCCCTCTCTGACGAGAGGTCGGGTCTGTCATTTGTCAGTCATAGTCTGTGTTAGTAAGTCCATTGTCAGTATTTACATATATTTACAAATTTAATCTTAATTCCTATTTCTACGTACAATATATACAAGGCCTCTGTCAATCCAGGCTCAGTACAGCAGATTTTGCCCTATTTCTAATAGTATTCGCTACCACAGTAGTCTAGTCACTTGAACGGTCGTATGCATGACCGCCGCAAAGTTTAAGCCTCTTATACTTTCTTCGCCTTGTCCGATCTTGCGAATATTCTCATTTTCATGATTTTGTATGACTTCTGCTTGTTGTCTGCATAATTTTGTTATATAGTCATAAACGTATGGGATTTTAAATGCCATGTGCAAATCGCGGACCGGTGTGCACCTTGGAAATTTGCCAATGGCGCTGAGAACCTTGTTTTGCAGGCGCTGCAATTTCCCTAGATGAGTGTCTGCCGCGAATTCCCAGGCGGGACTAGCATAAGTCATTACGGATCTAATGAGAGCTTAGTGGAGGGTCATTTTAATGTTAGAACTCAATCGCTCACTTTTGAATACTGATTCACACAGGCATTCCAGTTTCTCTTATAAACCATCAGTCGGACAACGGGAAACACACCTCGCTTCCCTGTTGCGTAATCGCCGTGTTTTCCTATTGCCTAGCAATAGTCGTTGCAGGGACTCGCCTGTTGCGTGTCGTCGCAGCCTAGCGGGAATGGCTGTTTACCGAGCGTTGCGTAATGATGGAAGGAGTGGGGTATGTGACTTCACTCGAGGAAAAACAGAGTTCACGTGACACCTACTTCCTGTTGCGCCGTCCACGGGACAATATCATTGGCCTTTCCTCTATACCTATATTTTCTCCTTCTGTCTATATATATCAATATAGATTTAGATGACACTAATCCACATTCAATTCACAAAAATATTCGTTAAAATGTTTAAAAAGTCATTAAAATATATATACATTCTGTGTTTATGCACTACCTGTTTCAGCCACACAGGGTCATCTTCAGGCAACACATTTTTAAGGAATCCACTGCACTGTGCACTTTGTCAAATAATACTCCTAAAGTACATTGTTGTTATTATTATTAATTTTGGTGTTATAGGATGTGTGTTCTTCCGATCTTTTGTATTGCAACCGCTCTGTACCCCATTGGGCGTGCTGCTCTCTTGGTTGTGTGTTTCTCTTCCATTGATTTCTCCAGTGAAAAGTTGTGTGGCATTTCATGTTTCCTCATGCGTGTTGCGTTAGCAGTACTAAGCGAATAGGTAGAGTCACTGTTAAGGTGTCACTGACCAGTGGTTAGAGTGGTCTTGTTTTGGTTATATTCTTTAGGCATGAAAATGTCCAGTTCACACAGCATTGAAAGACTGTTTCCAGAGTATTTTATGTTGGAATTTTCCATTGCCGAGATAAAAAGACCCACCACCAGGGTAGAGCAAGTGCGGTAGCCATGGAGGATCCTGTACAGTGATATCACAAAATATGCGATACTTCTTGTGCACCGTCCTAGTCTTGAGAGTAGCAAAATCATATATTAGTTCTTTGAATTCAAATTATAAGCCAGTTTATGTCAAATTGAAATTTTTCCTACTAGCACTACTATAAGCCAGTTTATTTCAAATTGAAATCTTTTCTACAAGCCCAGCTATCGCTGACACTATAAAATGAAGACATAACATTGTTGTGAATGAAATAGGCAAGAACAGGAACTTATCTCAGAAAATAAGCTGGTAAACAGAAATGTTCTGTTAGATGTTAAGAGGGCTTATTTCTACCACATGTAAGAGACTATACACTACAGTTAATTTAATTATACTTCAGGGTTTAAATACATTATTATTTTATATTTTTATCATGTTTCCTACTTTGGATTTAATTTGTTTCTTGAATTTTTATTGCATAACATTTGTCTAATCTGTGCTGATAGTTTTTTAAAGGATCAGTAATTAATAAGAGGCAAAAACTTAAATAAGTGCCAGTAATTCAAGGAATTAATTTGTGTGGGTGTGCAGCAGCTGCTTGCAGACTCTGCATGATGGTGCATGTCAAGAAGTACTGTGAAGTAGATAAACTGTGACACTGTGTGGAACTAAAGGATGTGAATTGTTAATGACAGATGGCAACCATAAAAGAGAAACAGAGATAAATGGCGAAGGTATAGCTCGGAAATGTGAAAGAACAGAAGAGAAAGTTATAGAGAAGAAATTATTTAAACATTGAATGGTTCTGTGGAAAAGTGAAATGTTGAAATGTGGATTGTTACAATGCTGAGGAAGATGGAAACACAGTGCCTGAAACATAGGGTTCTTCAGCCAAGACCAGTGCTCTTTTTGTTGAAATTGAAAAAGATATGTATGATCCAGCCAGTTGATCAGATTTACTAAAAACAAGTTCATAGAAAGTGGAAACTACAGAGAAGCAAACCTATCCAGGTTGCTGTTGTTGAAGTTCACTGTTTTTCACATGTCTAAAAGGAGGGAAGGAAACATGCCGAATTGGGATAGTTACAAGGTCAAGGGAAAATAAACGGTGATTATCTAAACCATGTAAGACATTTCAGGAATAAAAGGGGGTAATACCTGAAAGACAAAAATTAATGAGCTTGCAACTCATAGTAAGAACAAGAGCATTAGACGCTGGTATAGAGGAAAAAGTGAATTTAAAAAGGGTCAGTAACCTAGAAGTAACTTAGTAAAATGTGAGAATGGTGATATGCCTGCAGATTCCCACAACATTTCGAATAGGTAGAAGAATTGTTTCTCAGCTGTTGACTGTACATAGGGTCAATGATGTTGTTAGTACATGAGCCTAGTCCATTTGAGATTGAAATTGGTATTGCGAAGTTGAAAAAGTATAAATTGATAGGTAGTGATCAAATTCTGCCAGAACTGATTCAAGCAGGAGGTGAAACATTACTGTGTGAGATCGATGCACTCATTTATTCTATTTGTAGTAAGCAAGAATTGCCTGAGCACTGAAAGGAGTCTGTTATTGTGCCAGTTAACAAGAAGGGCGATGAAACTGACTGTACTAATTATCAAGGAACATTATCATTATCAGCTACATGTAAAATTTTATCCAATACCTTTCTATGAATGTTAAGTCCATATGTAAAGTAAAGTAAGTAAAGGTATCCCTGTAACAAGATTTGGAGGCTTGTAGGGTTGTGAGACGTTGAGGTTCCCAAATTTTCTAGAAAATCAGCTCATAGATGGCAGCAAGTTTATCAGCCCTACGCAATGGCCGCCATTTACCCCCAAGAATATTCCTGGTACTCATTTCTGTTAGAGGCTGAATTGACCCCAGGGCCATAGTACGGCTGGAAGGTTTAGATCAATTGAAAAAAATCCTATGACCTCATCAGGACTTGAATGTGTGACCTTCCGGCTTGTAGCATAATGCCTCAAGCAACTACGCTACCGTGTGCCCCTAAGTCCATATGTAGACAAAATTATTGGGGATCATCAATGTGGCTGTTGATGTAACAAATCAACTACAATCAAATTTTTGGCATTTGTTAGATACCGGAGAGGAAAAAAATGGGAGTACAATGAGACTACAGCAGCAATTCCTCGAATTCAAGAAAACATGATTCAATTATGAGGAAGTATTATATAATATTCTTACAGAGTTTAGGGTATGCACAAAACTAGTTATGCAATTAGAATGTGTTTAAATGAAACCTATAGTGAAGTATATATAGGTAAACACTTGCCTGATACCTTTCCTGTTAAGAATGGTCTAAAACAAGGAGATGCTTTGACACCATTGCTTTTCATCTTTGCTTTAGAATACAAGTTTGCCATTAGGAAGATGTGGGAAAGCTGGGTGGGACTGAAATTAAGCAGGACACTTAAGCTGCTGGTCTATGCTGATCTATCTGTTGGGAGATACCATGGATATGAGAAAGAAAAACACAGAAACTCTTAATTGATGCTTGTAAGGAAATGCAGAGAAAACTAAGTGTATGTTGATGTCTCCCCACTAGAATACAGGACAAAATCGTAACATAAAAATAGCTGATAATCTTTGAAACTGTGTCACGGTTAGAGAACAAGAGTAAGAGATCAAAATTTGATTCAGGAGGAAATTAAGATTAAATTGAATTCAGGTAGTGTTTGTTACCATTCAGTCCAGAACCTTCTGTCATCTTGCCTACTGTCTGAAAACATC